AGTGCTGTGATGCAGTTTATTTGAAGGAAAAGTTCTTATAATTGAAGTCAATTCTTGGGATAGTTGCTCCTTAGAAACTGGTCACTAGCTCAGAGAGCTTTGGCTCTCTGATTCCTGAGAAAGGGGGGTGTCTGCAATCTGTTCAACTACTAATTTTCAGACTGGCATAAACAGTGCAAATAGAAGTTAACACTAAAAAAGGACTCAGTGTCACTAATTCCTCCTCCGGCTGACCTGCAAAGTCCCAACATCTGCTGCTACTCAGCAGAAAGCAAGGGACATCTTTACTTCCTTAAAAAGCATCTATATCACCACAGGTGGCCAGGAGGTGATAGGAAAGTGGTCATTTCGATAGCGTTTCCCATTTATGCTGTCTGGCTCTCTGCTTCCTTGAGGAAGCATTATTTCAGGAGCAGATGACAACCTAGACAGGCAAATCACCCAAGGTGCAGTCCCTATCCTAAACTGTCAAATACACCTATGTATAAACCACATCATAACACAGCAAAGAAAGACGTCCTCCAGAAGACGCCCATTTAGCTCTTTCATTATAGAATATGCTAAAATCATTTATACATCATTAATACATTTAAACATTTCATATACCTAACCATTTCTACATCACTAACAGCTTTACTCAACACACTACAGCATACAGCAGAAGCATCAAAAAGGATGTGATCACCCAATCAACATGACACCAGAAATAAACAAAGATCACAGCTTAGTGTGTAAAGATAGAAATGTCTTGAAACATTTCAGATGCATATGGAAGACCATACGGCTGGTTTACGTCACATGGCAAAAGTAGTTCTGGGCCTGTTCAGTAGCTAGTGTGCAACAGAGATGAAGTTTCCAAAACAAGGGTTGCATTAAGTTGCTTGCACTCTGGATACAACAGCGTGTCCAGTTTTCTTCCCAAGAATCCATACAAAAATCAGAGTAAAAAGCCTCTATCACAAAATTATTCTAGTCATTCATTGATAATTCAAGTGTTTTAAAACTAATGTTCAGGAGCAAAACAAAAACTACTTTTAAAGCTTGCAAGAAAAAAGCAAAAATCCACAATGAAGGAAAAAAATTGACCATAGCTGAGGACTGCACAACGTGAACCAGGAAATCTGGAATGGGAAGTCATAATTAAAGACTAGAAATTTACAACGTGTAGTAATTGCAGCTACCAGACAAAATGTAGACAAATGCCAAGTAAGTCAATATTTCCTAATAGCTAACTAAATAACTAAACAGCTAACTTAAGTTGCCTTACATTGAGAGCAAAATGTCAGCTTCTTTTACTGGTGTCTGAGCAGCTTCTATTCTAACCGAGATGTATGTATTCTACATACATAACTGATGGCTCTCCAAAGACCACCATTTTCTAGCTCCTATGATACATGACTAACAGAGGAGCTAAACAGGAGATGAGATCTTTAATTGTTGGAAGTTATGATCCTACTAACAGGTGCTTGTAAAACTTATGTTTGTGGTATACGTTCTTGCCAAAGATGAACTGTTTAGCCAGCTTGACTTTGTGTTGATTTTACTCTAATAGGATAATAAAATGAGGTAATGTGCTAAAAAGCTTAGGACTACAACTGCACTGTAGTAATAAGATTATTTAGTAACATACCACAGCCATTAGGGACGGACAGATAGATTTCCAAAAAGTGTTTATTTCTTACATACCCCTTAGCCAGAGGATATTTCATTTTTGTTTAATGGGGGGAGGCAGAGGCCCACACTAAAGCTTGAAACGTCCGGAGAGAAAGAAAAGGAAAGATTTTTGAGGAGTTACTGAGAAAAAGACAAAAGATTTGGATATACAGTGGTAAGAAAGAGAGAACTAAAGGTGGCCACTGAGCATAAGTAGTATGGAAGATGAGAATGTAATCAGACGTGTGACAGCAAACATTTCAAGACAGCAGAAAAAGTTCAGCATTAGCCATATTATTTTAAATTTACTGGAGGGCATCCAGAAAAGGAGATCAGAGAGAGAGAATACAACTTTTAAATAATCTGTTTATATTCATCTTAGGCCATGAGAAATAGATCATACACTGAACAAAATTTACTGAAGTATTTTCATAAACTGTAACTTAACATCTTTAAAAAACAAAATTTATCTGTGGGACCACATTTAAGAGGGGAAAATGGATCAGATTCAAAAGAATAAAATAATAATGGAAACCTCAGAAATACATGGGATCAGTAACAGAAGAAGAAAAGGAGGGGTCCAAGGAAGGATTTCAGTGGAAAATGTTGGCAACCCCACAAAAAAACATGCTGAAGGAGTGACCTAAGAGGCTTGATAAGAACCAGACTAAGACAGAATCAAAACAGCCAAACAAGTAACATTAAGGAATAAGTGATCACCAAAGCTGGATACAGCAGGGAGGAAGGACAATGAGATGGGAGACAAACCTGTCTCTGAGCAGGGCAGGGTTACTGGAACTCTGTTGACAGCAGTTTAAGCTGAGTGAAAAGGACGCCAGCCAAACTGGAGGAGATCCAGGATGGAACTGGAGGCAGTACTGTTAAGCGGCACATCTGATGAACTCAGAGATGAAGGAAGAACATAGGACTGGCTGTGCTCCCAACTCTAGATATTAAGGGCAAAGATGATACATCTCCTAATTCTAAACGGGTAAAATTTTAAATATTGCTTAATACTAGTTGAATTCCTCCATTTTTTAAATCAAGCATAACTTAAATCAACATTAAAATCCTGTATTGTGCTAAATGAAGGAAAAAAAAGAAAAGAAAAAGAAAACCTAAATAAACAAACAGCAAAGTACAGATATGGAGAGAGATGCAAGAGGGTACCCACGAGTCACACACTGTACATGTCCTATTGTAAGTAATAAAGTGTAATAATTTTTTCCACACTAGCTACTTATTGTTTCATTTTCTTACATAACTATTTGCATTTATTTTTGTAAGATATTTTGCTTGCTGACTCTGTGAAGCAAAATCATCTAGGAGTCGTCCAATTTTGAAGAAGTTCTAAGCTATAAGAGTTTATACTGCAGGTTCTAAACTTTGTCACCCTTATAGGGCTTGTGCAATAAACAGATAGCAGTACCTGTACTCTGGTCACCTGAACTGAAGCATAAACATACTTGCAAACTCAATAGCAGCAGCTCCCACCGTTGTACCATCTGATACACACATGCAAGTGTTGGGATCCTACTGTTTAAGGCAGTAGATGTATGCTTCTTTGAAGTAGATTGTACTACTTGCTGAGCATACATACATAAGCCTTACGCCACTTTTGTCATTATTGTTTTACAGGAGCGCTATCTATTTAGGGTTCTTACAGAGAAAAAATAGCTGAGAATTTGTGGCTTTCTGGTATCCCAGTTCAAACTAAAACCATTGGTAAGACCTCTTAAATTGCCGCTTTGAAACAATGTTCACATGATTCTAGGCTAGAACACTTCCTTTTCAGACCGTTCATCCTGTTGGATATGTTCAATGAAAGATACGTAGAATAATTCTCTTACTCAAAGAAGCAGGGTATGCCAATAAACAACAAAAGAGTCTCCTCTGCTTCTTTCCAAACTTTTAATTTCTTAAAGCCTATTTATAAAAAAGATAAATTTTGTCTTCATCTAACATTATATTCAAAACTAATGGCGGAACAGGTTAACTGAGTATACAGTAAAACCAGGATTACTGAAAATGCTGGCAAATTATATTAAGTAAACTGAAAAATAAGAAAAATGTTTTTCAGTAACCTTATGAGATACTTTCAGATGGAGTATGATTTTAAGTTCCCTGAATAACGTCAGCTTTATATAGTCACACCCCTTTTTCAATTAATTTAAAAAGCCCGTCTGAAAATGCCTTAAATATTGCTTTTTTAAAAAAAAAGATAAAGATTGAATGTTGTTAGAGAGACCATTGAACAATTTTATTCAAAAGGCTACCTAGGAAAGTTTGTTTTAACAATTTATCCATACACATTTGTTCTAATTATAGTCACATTACCTTTATCAGCTGTGCTAAGCTATTCTTCAGGAAAGCTGAGAAAGATTTAAAAAGTTAAAAAGATCCAAGTACTCTCATACCTCTGTCAAACACTTATTAAATAGTCCTAACCAAATCACATAAAAATTCTGTGCTTCTGGTTCTTCAAGTGTGCAATGGAGAAAGTTTTAACCCTACCAGGAATGTATTAAGAAGATTAGTTAATATGTGTACAATATTTTGAAATTATTTAGTGAAGAGAAAAAATACTATCTTCAGTCACATAAACCAGTACAAAAAAAAAAAACCTGTGCTAAAGATAAAATATTGATGGCAAGGATCAAAAGAAGTCCACTGTAAAATTTCAATGGTTATACAGTATCATACAATAGAATCACATCCTAATATTGAATTCATCACCCAAGGGGAAGGAAGAGTATGTTAGGCCATGTCTATATCACAGTCTCCAAGTTTTATAACTCCATGTAAATGTGACTAATAACAGCACTCTAGCCAGCTAACCCAAAGGCATAGACAACACTCTAGTTAGAATGCCAGCAATTGAGTTGCACTGTCCTTACACTATTTCATATTAAATGTCAGACTTTTTAGGGTGTATATCTAGCATAGATATCCTGTTTGGCTTCTGTAGTTTCATGATATCCAGTATTCAGCTGTTTTCTTAATTTACATTTTTGTTGAACCAGCTGTTGGACAGAAGTGTTGGTAGTCCTATACAGCACTTGAATTCAAAGAAAAAAGCTTAATGAAAACATCAGATACAGAACACCAGTATAGCAGACTAAGAGATGAACTAAAATGTTAAAAAAATGAAGTTATGGGAGAACCTTTTAAAACTTAAGCTTACCCAGATATAAAAGTGTACGTGCCTGAGTTGGCCACATTTTTAAGGCCAATTTTGATTAACAGGAATAACAGATCTCTCTCAGGGCTGACTTCGGAATCATGAGCCTTTGATAATTCATGTCCCTCATGGCAGAGCAGACTGAGGTAACTTTTTTGGTACTTACATCAAATGTGGGTGTGCTTTGTTGGGCACTCTGATTACATGGTTCTCTGAAGCAATCAGTGAAGGGAAGCAAAAGACCCATTGCAATAATACGAGAACACAGTTTTTCTGCTTCTTCTTGTGGTGCATTCTCCTGCTGGCTGAACAGCTTTTCCAGCAGAGTTCGCCCTGCCAAGGTGATGACACAGATCAATAAGAATTTGTAGTTATCTATGAGATATAAAGATTAAGGCATTGCAACATGTATTAAAAATTTCGAGGAGTATTTTAAGTAGAATAAATAAAGTTTACCAGCATTCTTGAGAAAAACATCCAATTATAAATCTTTAATATAAAATGTTTCCATAGAGTCATTTGAACTGATCTACAGCATGATTAATTAGGACATCCCAGAAAACATATTAGGTTGGCTGCACAATGGAGTAGGAACAAGAACCATGAGATGCTATTGCAACATCAATTTCCTATTTATTGGTATTATACAATTATCCTGTTGGGAAAACTGAGATATTACCAAGAAATGAAATAACATTTTCCAAGGGTGTCACACACAGTCATAGAATCAGCTCCCAACTCTTCGAATAAGCCTTTGTTTTTTGAATTACAAAGTGATCCTAGTCTTTAAGAAATTGTGCTCCAGTTCTGTGGAGAAACTCTCAATAGAATAATAATACCGCCCCCCGCCCCCCCAGTAACTACTCTGCTTAAGATGATATTTAGCAACTCCAGAGCAGCAGAGTGCTCCAGTCTAAAATGCAGTGCTGCAAGGCCCGGTACAGAATTTGGGGAAATCTTTTGTAGAGTCAGAAGAGTGACCTGTTTCCGTTACAGGGTCAGCTTTCATGATCCCGATGCTTTCTTTGCTCTCTCACCACTTCACGAAAGCAAGGTATGTCTTGCAGAGCATGTTACAGAAGATGACGCTAGAGGTCTGAAAGAACTTTGTGCTGTGTAAAGTTAGCCAGAAAGAGACTTAAAGAAATTGATTAGTTATATACGCAGGCTGTACTAAAATCTACACTGTAAGAATATGAAATTGCTTGATTAAGCTCTAAAATGTAAAAAGATGCCAAACTTGGGACTTACAAGATATAAAGAGATGAAATAGACCTACTGGAAGAGAAAAGGTAGAGGGAGTACTAAAGTTAATTGCATATTTTTGTAAGAACTAACTGCAAATGCAATTTGTACCTAAATCATTTTCTTTTTTTTCCACTAACTGGAAGCCAAAGGTATCTTTTAAAAAAAAAAATGTACTACACTAAAAGGAAGCATTTCAGTGTCAGTTAAAGTAATAACAAAATACTGCTTTTCACATTAAAATGCAAGATATATAAAGCATTTCTATTCAAATGCTGATCTTTTCAAATTGCAAGATTTCATAGTGTCTTTTTAATGCACAAAAAAGGGATTTTTTTTAAACATCTGCATCTGATTTAGATATAATATTGTAAATATCATTTAGCCCAAAGTTTCCATATTATTTTAACTTCATGCGGCAATGCTACCTAAAATAAATAACGCATTGAAATGTAGAAAAGTCATTTCTAAGATTTTTCTCTCCACATCTAACCATTGGATAACTCTGAATTATTACTCTGAGTCTTCTAACTTTTCATTAGACACAGTGGAATATATTCCAGCGAACTGCTTGCAAGAAACAAATTTTGTCATGTGCTAATCAACTTGCTAATTCATTTGCCTCTGTTCCTTGGTTTCACAACATATAAAATAATTACATTATTGCTTATTCAATACTTTCCCTCTTTTTACTCATCTAAATATACAATTCAGTTAATAATCTTCAAATTTATTAATTGATTGTAGAGGGGCATTCTTAGTGTTCGATATGCACTGTGATTTTACCAATATTTCTCACACAATTGCAGCAATATACAGCAATCTCCTACTTGAAGAAAGGCAACAGTACGAAAACGTAAAAGCAAAGAACAAAGCAGGAGCTATTTGCCTACAGACATTTTTGTGATTTATTTCAGTAATCTTTCTGTAGCTGCTAATGTTAGCGGTGCTCTAAAATAAATGTAAACAGCACTTCTCTTCTGCAGACTCATATGCAGCTAAAAGGGGTAAACCGGATTAGAAAACTAGCCAGTATCACTCTTACTGCAACACATAGCTTCTCCTAGCTATAAATACTGGAGTTTAGCCATATAAGGAAGTATCAGAAAAAATAAAAGCACAAGATTGGCATCACACTGGCACCAGAACACCAGTAGCTAGCATTTCACTGAGCAAAGCACAGATGTAGTCTTATAGTATCATCTCATATCACTGAGTAAAGCTGAACAATATGGAAAAATCATCTCATTAAACAAAGGACTAGAGGTGAAGAGGATTAACGTAAAGCCTTGACTTCCCCGTTTACCTACACTAACCATTCTTACATTTTTACACTACCAACAGAAGAAAAAATAAAAAAGAGCCTTCTGCATAAAAAAATAGAATGTAAGAACATTGCACATTTATTCATGCTGCGTTAAATATTCAATTGCTGTCCACTACTTTTGAATGTCCCTCTTGAAACATCTAGGGGAAAAACAACAACAATCACCACAACCACCTTTAAAATAATCTGGTCGCTTCTAGAGTGTCTTTTCCTGGATAATCAAAAGCAGAAGAATCTCCTGACGGCTGCTTTAAACTAATGAAAAGGAATAATATTCCCTTTCTTGTCATTTACAGATAAGTGCTTGCTTTTTAATCTGTCCGTCTATTCTCTATTTTTTTTTTTATAATAGCACCTTTTTAAGTCCTGCTCAAGATCAAATACTTTATTGTTTGTTCAAAATCTTAGTTGCCATTTACTCAGCTTAATTTGTATATTAGTTATTAACTATTATTGCTTGTTATACTCTTTTAAGCTTATTTTATATTATCTGAATGCTAAAACAAGTATATGCCTAAAAAAAATAGTGTCATTAATGAACTTGATTTCTTGTATTGTCCTCTGGTACTTCTTATGCTGTCCACCTGTATTGAATGTATTATAAGCCTTTGAATAAACTGGGGAATAAAAATTATTATTATCATAAGTTAATAATAAGTTAATTATTAACTTATGATAATAAGTTAAGAGTTAACACTTCTTAACCTAAAGAATCAACAGTTTGGACTGACTCAAAAAATAATCAATCAATTAATAATATCAGCACAAAGATGACAATGTTTAGATAAAGCTGTGCTCTAATACTATGAACGTTCCTTACAATTGCTACGGACAGCCGAGGACAGAAACTGAAATCTGACTTAAAGAAATATATTTTGCTATTTTTGTTAACACATTTTAACAAATGCAAGCTGGAACTGGTTCAGTCCTTAATACTTACATAATTGACTTCTCAGTAAACAGCTGTGACAAAACTATATCAATAATAAATGGATTACACATTCAAAACCACTTACTAGGCAATACATTTAAAATGTTACACTAAAGTTTTGTATCATCAAAAGTGTCAACTCCTTCCCCCACTTCAAAACACAAAAACTAGCCAAAGTTATAAAAAGGCAATTGAATTTTTCTGAGGTGGGGGAGGGGGCGGAAAAGAGGAGTAATACTATCAAAAGAAACAGTTTCAGTGTTTTGGAACATTAGTAATTTTTTTTGAAACAACATCACGAGATGCCGCAGAGCCTGACAGACAAAATAGCTGCACCACAATAGGGCTAGATAGGGCCAAAACTATTTCACATGGGAGAACGGCATTTGAAAGTCGTTGCTTACCAGTAATGAGTTCCTCCCTTGTTGAGGGCAACTACTATTTCTCCTTCACTTACTTGCAGGTAAAAGCCAAAGTCATCACTACAACGGAAGCACCCCAGCTCCCAGATCCTCAGCAGCCCTAGAAGCTGATGAAGTACCTCTACCTGCTCCCGTATTTGGGTCACAGCAAACATAGGTGACATGTTTGTGAAGCGGAAGAAAGAATCACATTTATTACTTTTAATTTAGGGTAAAATGAAGGATATATTTTTGCTTAGGTATACAAAATTCCTTTTTCAGCTGGTATTTAACCACTTCTGTTTTGAACTAAACATGGATTGCCTTTACCTTATCAGATTTATGCTTTGAACTAATTCAAATTAAAACAACTTTTTGTCTCTATGCATGAAATTTAAAGCACTGATTTTGCAATGTTAATACCTAAATCTATTCCTAAAATTTTAGCTAAAATTTTCAGCTAAAATTTTTCATCTTTGATTCATAAATAAAATGCAACTCTACCCTTTTTTTCCTCAGATACATTAATCGCCCTCATACTCGTTACTTACATGCAATAATATCTGAATGTGTTCTCAACAGCTAAAGATGATTGCAAACAACCTGGAATAATTAAGTGACTAATGATTTCATAATTATTAAATGATTAACTGATTTCTGTTAAAGGAATTTAAGGGAAATAGTAAAGAAACTTCTCTAGTTTGCTTTTGTATATCATGAAGATAGTAAAGCACAACAACCTCAGCACTTTTTTTCTAAAAAGTTCTTAATAAAATCAATTTAAAAAAAATATTTTAAACGACTTTTCTTCCCCAAGATCTCAGATCATGATGTTGCTGGAGGCTATTCTTACCTTACCCTTAAACACAAGGTGGGGGGGGTGGGGGTGGAAGGGATACTAATTTTTGGATTGGAGAAGAACTGTGGCTAAGTTTCAGTGTTCTGAGGATCTTGCCAAGACCCTTCAGCAAGGAAGAATATAATCTTGTAAGTTACTTTTTATGACCTTAGAGACGACTTGTTAAAACCTAGTAAGGGACAAGAAGACTCTCTGCATTTTTTTGCTTACAAAGGATTACACAGTTAATAAATAACTTAAAACAATGGAAACATGAAGTTAATTTTGGAAGCATAAGGTACTCTGGCTTTCTACAGGTATTTGTGACACTTTTGCTGCCATGGCACAGCCTAATTCTTCTGGCTCAGCTTCCATATTCTACCCCCTCTCTACCTCTATGTCCTTCTGCTTCTCATGCCCATTAGGATAAAGTACTACTATCTTGTGATTTCCTTGTGATTACATTATAGGCTTTTGTCCTGTCACTATTACCAAGACTTCAGTAAGACTATTCATCAAAACCACCACTGTCTACAATTTTACATGCAACTTATTCACTGGAATGAAAATACACAAGTCCCAGGATAGTTT